CCCCCCACACACACACACACACTCTCTCTCTCTCTCTCACTCTCACTGTCTGGAAGGAAGATCACATTTTCTTAAGGGAACACAAGTGCCAAGGTCCAGTCCTGCTCTGAGGCCCATCCCAGCAGAAGGAATAGCAGTGTTTGCCCTTTGCTAGCAGGGCAGGAACTAATTTGGAGTTTCTCTTCTCCATGCAGGAGGTGCCTGGCTGCTGAGCAGAGTTCAGGAGCAGCCTTCTGAGGAAGGGCCTGCAAGCCTAGTGCCACAGTGGATTTCCCCAGGGAATTTGGGTGAGATGGACTCCTTGAGATCTAAGAACCAATGGCACAAGAGTCAGAGGAGGCCCCAAAAGCAGAAGGAGAATGTAGCAGTGAACCGGGTACTAGCTCCAGTTTGGCGTGAGAGTGGAGAAGAGACAGAACCCAGAAAGAACCCTGGGTGGAGGGAAGAATTTGTGGAGCTGAGAGACTTGAAGAGCCACAAGGCAAAGTTCCACTGCAGAGAGACCCTGCATCCAAACCAAACCAGTGGAGTCAGCCTCAGAGGGAAGCAGGAGCTCACTGCCAAGCACAGGAAGAGAGCCCACCCCTGCCCTGGGTGCAGGAAAACCTCTAACTGCTCCTCACTCCTGGCTTTGCACAAGATAGGGCACATTAGGGAGAAGCCCCACATATGTGCCATATGCGGGAAGAGCTTCACCTGCCTCTTGACCCTGGCTGCTCACTGCAAGAGCCATTCAGGAGAGCTCCCCTACCGCTGCACCAAATGTGAGCATAGCTTTGTGTGCAGCTTGGACCTGGCCAAGCACCAACATGTGCACAGGGAGAAGCATCAGTACCGCTGTGTCACATGTAGTAAGACCTTCACCTATTTCTCCTCCCTGGCTCAGCACCGGCGCATCCACTTGGGGAGGAAGACACACCACTGCACCAAGTGCAGGAAGAACTTAATTTGCTGGCAGGATCTATCCCAGCATCGGTGTGTGAAGAAGGCAGACAAGCCACACCACTACACCAAGTGTGGGAAGAGCTTCAGGCAGCCCTCTAATATGGCCAGACACACGCTTATGCAAACAGGGGAAAACAACCAGCTTACCTGCATAGGGGAAAAGCCACATCAGTGCTCTGTGTGTGGGAAGAGCTTCACCCAGCCCTCCCACCTGGCCAAACACCAGTGCATCCACACAGGGGAGAAGCTACACCAGTTCCCTGAGCGTGGGAAGAGCTTCAGCTGCTCCACAAGCCTGGCCCAATACCAGTGTATCCATACAGGAGAAAAGCCATATCTTTGTTCTGATTGCGGGAAGAGCTTTACCCACCCTTCCCACCTAGCCAAGCACCAGCTTATCCACACGGGAGAGAAGCCACATCAGTGCTCTGTGTGTGGAAAGAGCTTCACTCAGTCCCCACACCTGACCCAGCATCAGCGCATCCACACAGGGGAGAAGCCACATCAGTGCTCTGTGTGTGGAAAGAGCTTCACTCAGTCCCCACACCTGACCCAGCATCAGCGCATCCACACAGGGGAGAAGCCACATCAGTGCTCTGTGTGTGGAAAGAGCTTCACTCAGTCCCCACACCTGACCCAGCATCAGCGCATCCACACAGGGGAGAAGCCACATCAGTGCTCTGTGTGTGGAAAGAGCTTCACTCAGTCCCCACACCTGACCCAGCATCAGCGCATCCACACAGGGGAGAAGCCACATCAGTGCTCTGTGTGTGGAAAGAGCTTCACTCAGTCCCCACACCTGACCCAGCATCAGCGCATCCACACAGGGGAGAAGCCACATCAGTGCCCTGTGTGTGGGAAGAGCTTTGGTCAGTCCTCCACCCTAGCCCAGCACCAACGTATTCACACAGGGGAGAAGCCACATCTTTGCTCTGTGTGTGGGAAGAGCTTCAGCCGCTCCTCCACCCTGGCTCGGCATCAGCTTATCCACACAGGGGAGAAGCCCCATCATTGCTCTGCATGTGGGAAGAGCTTCACCCAATCTTCCCACTTGGCCCAACACCAGCGCATCCACACAGGGGAGAAGCCACATCAATGTTCTGTGTGTGGAAAGGGCTTCATCCATTCCTCCAGGCTGGCCGAGCACCAACACATTCACACAGGTGAGAAGCCACATCAGTGCTCTGTATGTGGGAAGTGCTTCACCCAATCCTCCAGCCTAGCCAAACACCAGCACCTCCACACAGGGGAAAAGCCACACCAGTGCCCTGAGTGTGGGAAGAGCTTCAGCTGCTCCTCCACCCTTGCCCAGCACCAACTTATCCACACAGGGGAGAAGCCACATCAGTGCCCTGTGTGTGGGAAGAGCTTCAGCCGCTCCTCCACCCTGGTCCGGCACCAGCGTATCCACACAGGGGAGAAGCCACATCAGTGCTTTGTGTGTGGGAAGAGCTTCACTCAGTCCTCCATCCTGGTCCAGCACCAGCGCATCCACACAGGGGAGAAGCCGCACCAGTGCTCTGAATGTGGGAAGAGCTTTACCCACTCCTCCAGCCTGGCCCAGCACCACCGCATCCATACAGGGGAGAAACCACATCAGTGCTCTGTGTGTGGGAAGAGCTTCACCCAATCCTCCAACCTGGCGAAACACCAGCGCATCCACACAGGGGAGAAGCCACATCAGTGCTCTGTGTGTGGGAAGAGCTTCACCCAATCCTCCAACCTGGCGAAACACCAGCGCATCCACACAGGGGAGAAGTCACACCAGTGCTCTGAGTGTGGGAAGAGCTTCAGCTGCTCCTCTACCCTTGCCCAGCATCAGTGCATCCACACAGGGGAGAAGCCACATCAGTGCTCTGAGTGTCAGAAGAGCTTCACCCACTCCTCCAGCCTGACCTATCATCAGCTCATGCACACACGGAAGAAGCCACATCAGTGCTCGTAGTGTGGGAAGAGCTTCACTCAATCTTCCCACCTGGCCCAGCAACAGTGCAGCTACACCCGGAAGCATTCATACATAATTCTACCAACAATGCCAGAAGGTCTGGTGGGGTGGTGGGGAACTACATAAAAAGTTTACCTGGCCCTTGCAGGCCACTGCAGGACCCGGAAGCTGGGCCACAAGCTTTGATTAGGGGAGGGAAGGGGGTCAGACAAAATGCCTCAGGGGCAGCCTAAATGCTGGGAGAGCCTGTGAGGAGATGCTCCTTGTATCAGCCTTGGAGTCTATGCATTGCCCACCATTCTCTAAAACCGGTCAGTGCTCCCAGGGGAAGAAGTGCCTTCACAATACAGTGCCTTCCCCAAAACAGCTGCCTCCAAATGACACCCAGGGACTTTGGCCACCTCCCAGCTTTCTTCTCCCTCCTGGTCCCAGTGTTCTGGTGCATGAGGCTCTGATCCCATGATTTTTGGATGCATACCAAGAGCTTCGAGATGACTCTACCCTTCATTTTTTTCAGTGTTGGAACAGACACACATTCCTGGGAGCAGGTGGCAATAGTAAAAATGTTTACAGATCTTGTTACGGAGCCAGATGTGAGAACGTTACTGGAGTGCTACTGTGAAAAAATGTGTTACACAGAGAAGGTGAAAAATGTAGACTGTTTGCACTGGGCTATAGTATGCCCATCTGTTAGTGTGGACAGACCTCTCCAAGGATTATGAGGGTGTGAGGTATCTCCCCCCGGAATAGCCTTAGGGTTCCATAGGGAGAGCCCAAACTTTGTCATAAGTGTGGGGAGCATGAGTATCTTACCATAGCTTCACACAGATTCTGTGCTCCTTGTGTAAAGGGAGGGGACGTGAGAAAATACTGTTGCTAAGGGTGGGTATGTAATGTGTGTGGAGAGAGGGGCCACATGTTCCAGTCTTGACCCAAAATCTTTGTGACCGTCTTGAGAAGGAGGAGACCAGCTGGCACAAGGGACACACAAGAGTAGAGGGAAGAGGCAAGCAGAGAGGAGAGCAAAGAACAACAGGAAAAACAGGAAGCCCTGCCTGCTTGTGCTCGGGCTGCCCATGCTTCATTCCCACCAGTGCCCATGGCCCAGCCGGGTGCTGCTTTGCTCCCTGCACCTCCAGTAGTAGCTCCTGCTCCTTGTCTTGCCCACCCTGCATCGTGCTGCTCCAGGCGGACAAACGGCTTCAGCCAAGCAGCTCCTGCTCCATCACGTAGGACTCCAGCTCCAGCTTCCAGGAAGATGGCTGGGAGCTGAAGCCAGAGCCCCATGCATTGGGGCAGGAGCTGCCCAGCTGAAGTTGCCTGCCTGCTTGCCCAGAGAGGTGCAGCATGACATGGCAGAGGCAAAATCAGGAGCAGGAGCCTCTGCTGGAGGCAGGGGCAGTAGAGTAGCACACAGCTGGCTGCCAGGAACAACCCCACAGGAAGCTGCACACACTGGCTGGGGCCAGGCCACACGTCAGCAGGAGCCAGGAGTGGGCTATGCCAGCATAACCAGATGTGCTTGGCCCTATTTAGCTGGACCCAGTCACCTGCTGGGCTGAAACAGCCTGCAGGAGTGTGGTATACCAGGGGAGAGGATTATGATTACTTTGAGGAGAGGTGGACCTGAGGACCTTCACAATGGTCTAGCACTAATGAAAAGAGAGCATCTGGCGTGGTTCTGGTACAGAACCCATATATTGGCATATGACAAGTGGCAGAGGTGGTAAGCAGGAGGATTTTACAGTGATACTGCTTTTAGTAACGTGTATGTGACCTGTTAGAAAGGGAAGCCTGCTATGGGTATTGAGTAAGCTTGCAGTGAACTTCCCAGGTTCCAAACCCAGTGTATAGCTGGGAAATTTCAACTGTTTTATACTGGCAGGAGATAAGAAAGCAGGGAGAGAGGGAGGGAGTGGACAAAACCTCCAGACTGTTGAAACAAATTGTGGAGAAAAACACTTGGCAGGATGTGGAGGGGAGAGAAGCCCAGAGGAGGTGATGGTTGTGAGGGTCGACTGAGCATAACTCTTCACTCAAGAATTGATTTTTACCTTCTGGTTTCAGCATTCAGAGGTGAAGGAAGTGGAGGGTGTTGATGCTGACGTTGAGAGTGGTGCTAGATTGCTTTTTGGACTTTTTATGCTGAGGACAACGTTGAAATAAGGAAAATGTTTTGTTTTTGATACTTATTGTTATTTTAATGATAATGGTATATCCCTGCCTCTGCACCCCGATTCCAGATAGGACCACCCATTGCTGTCCCTTCTTACACATGCTGTCCTGCCTCTCTGCCCTGCATTTTGGATTGTTGAAACACAGCTCTCTCATGTATCTGACTTGGCTTGTGACCTGGCCTTGCTCTGTGTAGTGTTTTGGCCCTGAGTCAGACTCTGACTCTCTAGCTTTGACCCTGGCTACCCCTTGTACCTCAGCTAACAGCTCATGTGAACTGCCAGCCAGACAACCAATGCCTCGGTATGTGCAGCATCTGGTTCAAGGAGACAGAGCCATCCCTAGGGGTGTATGGGGCCCGGGCCATATCAGCCTGTGTGGGGCCGGGGAGGTGGGAAGCAGCCAGAGTGGCGGGGAGCGAGCAGCCGGCGGCATACAGTGGCTACAGCAGGACCTGTACGGCACTGTGCAGGGGCCCCACAAAGCACAGGGCCCAGGGCAGTCACTCCAATTTGCCCCCCCCCCCGATGGTCCTGCAAGGAGAGACCTGGTCTTGGGCAGGGGTTGCTCAGCAGTGTGTACCTGTGACATGCACTGAGCATACCTATTCTCAGCTCCTCCCCCATTTGTCAGCAATGTGTCTGGGCCATGTTCTTAGCTCCATATATCTGTTTCAGTGCTGGGGGGCCAATTCCAGCCCCCACATAGGTCCATTCTCAACCCTGTCCCTCATTGCAGCTCTGGGGACAGAAATGACAGAGAATATAGAAACCTGAATAGATGGGGTGTTGGGGCAGCGAGGGGGAGGGGAAGCCTTGAGGGGATGGGTTAGGGTTCCAAAGAAGTTATCTGAGAGCTTCAGCAGTCAGCAGGAATGGATGAGCTTGAGGGGGAGTGAGTTGCATTGTGGGGAACAAGGGAGCCTTGAAAGGAGCCAGGGAGAATGAGAGAGCCCTGAGGGGTCAGGAATTTAAAAGGACCAGGAGAACTGAGACGACAGGATGTTGGGCATGAGCAGGGAGGCTATGAAAGGATGGAAAGACAAATTGAGAGGTGATAAAGCAGCCTTGAGACAAGGACTCTGCATTGGCGGGGGGGGCGGGAACTAAGTGAATGGAGAGTTAGTGTGGAATGGGAGAGCCTGAAGGGATGGGGTCAGGGGGTTCCTGAAGGGGTGGCAAGTCAAGTTAGGGAAACAAGGAGCCTTGATGGGTGACAAGGGGAGAAGGTAGAGAGCAGGGTGGGGTTGGGGCAAAGAAGAAATGGAGGAGCCCTTTAGGGACAGGGAACTAGGAAGCAAGGTAGAACCTGAGTGGGAGTCAGTGGGGGAATTGGCATGCCTTAGGGACTGGGGAGGGCAGAGGCCTGGGAAAACAGGGTCCAACTGTGGGGTCCTGACATATTGGCAATTGGAGGAGGAGGGGTGTTGTGACGGGTGAGTAGTGTGTGTGGGACATGCATGTTCCAAATTACTGTGCTCCCCATGCCCTCCTTCAGGCTCTCTGCCTTCTCACCCTGATCCATCCCACTCCAGAAGGGACCCAGGGACCAGCTCAGTTTGTCTGGACATTCAGTGCCCCTATGTGTGGCAGGAGGTCTCCTTCATTCCCAAGTCTCAAGATCACCTCAGCCTACCAAAGGAGACTCCTACATAGGTGGCCAGTGCAAATATGGAGTGAGTCAGGCCCTGGGTTCAAAACCTAATTGCTGTTTTCTGACAAAGGTCAAGTGCTTTAATGCCCAAAGTGGATTAGTCTGTCTGCTTCCACTGGGGTTCATAGGCAGAAATCCCTGGAAGAGCTGTCTGGCCTCTATGAAGTTGGAGCTCAAAGTAGCTGAGGACACAGGGACCTTCTGGATTCAAAACCTCTGAGCATCTTCCACCTGGCTCCCATCTGCCTGTGGAAACATCCCTCAGAGCTGGATTCAGGGAGGTGGTTAAATAACTTGGTTTTGTCTACACAAAGACCTAAAGGAGCTTTAATCCACATGTATTTTTATGGCAGAGTAACATGCTCCTTTGGATACTGGCTACTTTTGAATAGGAGGTAGACCCATGTTTCCTGACTCCCAGTGTAAGGAGATAATAAAGCATCTGTCAAAGATGTATTAACAAGGATGAAGTCCTCATGGTCTATATGTCTTTACTGGGTTTTGTTTTATCCGATGTTTAAGATCCAGGGCACTTTGGAAGAACTATTTGTCTTTTCGGAGTGTTGTATTTGAAGGATTTATTATATTTGTTCCTCCCCTGTGAAATTCTTATTTAGAATAAGTGACTTACATTAAATTTTGGGAGTGCGTTCAGCTCATGTGAAGAGAAACCAGTTTCACTGGGATGGCAATGACCCATAGAAGGGAGTTCATGCAACTTAAGAGCTACTCCATTGTTAATTTGATTAGACTCTGTTCTAGTTATCCTGGCAAAGGCAAGCCCTGGCTGCTGTTCATGCCACCCCTCCCTGTACCCAGGGCAGCACTGAAGAGGGGACACAATGGTGCAGAGGCATTCCTGCCCCCAACCCCCAAGTGTCTTGGCTCTGCTGGCAGTGCAGGGGTGGGATTCCTGGGGACTCCTGGCCAGCTTCACCCCCTGCTTCGGACCCAATATCAGCAGTCACAGAATGGGGGGAAAGTGAAAGAGGTGAGGTCAATCAGTGCTGGGTCTGTGATGCCTAGTAGTACATGTACACTGGCAGAAGTGAGTGGGGGGCCACCACCAGGCTGCAGCAGCAGAGGGTGCAGCTCGTAGAGACGCACATACTGCTGCACAGCTGTCCCAGAGACCCCTCCAGCCCCAGGGCACCAGGCTGCTGGTAGGGAGAAGCTGGCCCCACCCCTGCTAGGAAAG